ATGGCAAGATAGTAAATGCGATGCGATATGTAGAAAAGGAAAAAGGATAAATAACAAAGTTAATAAACCGAATTAAGAGATTTCAAGTAATATTTTAAATAATTTCTTTTTAAATAAATTAAAGCTAAACGAAAAAATGTCCAAATTTCGAAAAGCATTGTTATTAAACAACAAAAACATTCTATTCATTGGGGCATTATAATAGAAATTGGTTCTAGCTTGAGATGATAGGAGAGGCTGTTGATGACGAGGGACATAGGAAGGAGTAATCATTAGAATTTTGGAAAGTAAGTAGTTGTCAAGAAGGTGATTGATAATTTTATATAAGCACATAACATCAATCTTAGTTCTATGCAAAGATAATGGACAGATTTTAAAGTTGACACAGGCAGTTTTATAATCCACATATTCAACATTAAACTTTTTTGAAATAAACTTGAGAAAAGTTTTCTGAACGCGTTCAATGTGATCACTGTAGGTAATGTAATAGAGATTCCAGATCACAGAGCCAAAGTTAAGACGACTAAACACATACGAAAAATATAAGAATTTAAGAGCTTCAATAGATTTAAAACTCTTAGTGGCACGAAAAATGAATCCAAGTAGCTTAAAAGATTTGGCAACCATATAGTCAATATGTGAGCGAAATGTAAGTTGAGAGTCAAAAATAACTCCTAGATCTCTAACTTCCTGAACTCTCGAAATTTGTTGATTACCTAAATTATAAAAAGTTGTTAAGTAATTTCGTTTACGTGTAAATGAGATGGTATAACACTTAGAAAAATTTAACGACAAGTTATTAATGCTACACTAATTGAAGAGTCGATCAAGGTCGTTTTGAAGAAGTTTAGAATCATATATGTTGTTAACCGCTCTGAACACCTTTAGGTCGTCAGCGTATAGTAAAAAATTCGAAGATTGAAAGCAATGATTGATATCATTGATAAATATATTAAAAAGCAAAGGACCTAAAAGTGATCCTTGATTCCTTGCGGAACACCAGATGTGATACGAGACTGATCTGAGTGATAACCATTAACTACAACTACTTGGTGTCGGTTTTCAATATACGATGACAACCAGCGATAAAGATTCCCACATATTCCAATGAGCAACAGTTTTTGTCTAAGAATTTCATGATCAATCCTGTCAAACGCCTTGCTGAAGTCAGTATATACAGAATCAACCTGATATAACTGATAACTGAGAAACTATAATCGAGGAGGAGGACTGTGGTTGGTAGTGTAACGAAATTTATTCTTCGGCTGTTTTAGATAATACAAAACACCAGAAAAACAGCAGAAGGAATCTTGCTCGGCGAGGGTGAGTTCCGATATATTTGATTGCAAAAAACAATCTTGGGCGCCAGGAACCAACTTACCTTCACTGCTCCTCATTCACTGTTGAAAAGTTCCAAGAACAACAGTTCAAAAAGGCTATAAAACAACCAGCAATCCAAAAATAAAAATATTAAAAGAGGCAAAGAAGCAAGGCATATATATTGTTCTGACCTGAATTCTCACAATGATAAACAAACCATAATGTACATTAATATTCGGTAACAATATTTCTACTCTAACTACCAACCCCCCACCCTAACCATTACTTATTAAATTGTATAAAAAAAACAAAACCAGAACTGAGTACTCAACCCAGAAGCTTGGCAAGCTACTACCCTAAGGAATTAACTATAACCCCTCAAAAATATATTGTTATCTGATTGCTCTTTGATACGTCGGTAATATGAGATCTGATAAGGCCGTTAGTAGTTTCATAAAGTTTACCAAATTGATCTCGGTCCGAAAAGAAAATCTTGCGTAGCCACCTGAGCATTCGGTCATTACAATTCAAAAAAATAAAATTTAAATATTCGAGTTTACTAAACAAAGTAAGGAAACAACCCTAGAGTTACCCCATGCAACAAGTAACAACTCTTTAACCCTGTACATAAGTATACTCTATATATTTGTATGAGAAATGACCCATAACTATAAAAAAACCCTCAAATTTGTTCCAGAAATTTTTATATCTCAAAACCACAACGAAATAAATCTAATATTTATCGAAAATGAAGTCTATAAACACTATAAAACCAATCCGAGCTGCCTCACTCAGCTAAAGAATCACCACCAATTAAGGTGAGTATGTGCTACTTAATACCCCCCCCCCCCAATTATCTACATAAAAATTCAACCTCAAATTTACTCATGCAAACCCCAATTAGATTACCAAAATGATGTCTAAGTTCGTTAATCACGTTACACCAACAGTTTCCAACTAATAGTCAAGTATAGATAGCCTGACCTTCTCTTTTGATAGGACGAACCCCGAGAAATGAACCCTGCTCTGTCGTTGCGGTTACGAACCACTCCGGAGGACGTCTGGCGCCTATGAGGATGTCTTGAACTGCTACGGTTAACTTCCTGCAGCTATGGCGTGCGTGGATTTAAATCTCAATTTACTTAGGACGATGCAAGTTGTGGTTTTTACCGACTATTATTAATTAAAACCCTAAAATTGTTATACCCCCTTCTGTAGAACCTAAATAGAAATTTGTGGCCAACTCACCGGTCGTTGTCTTGGGGTGAAACGTTGGAGATTAAGAAAAATTGTCCAAATCCTTCCAAAGAAGAGTGGTGTAATTCCACGACCAATGCCAATAAAAAGGGAACTATCCTGTCGATGTCTTTCAAAAATCCAATACTACGATCGGTTTCCTTAACTGGAACTCTACTTAAAAGTATACCATATACAACTTTTCTGCTCTCAAATCTGTTCAGAATTGCCTTTCTTTCCTCTAATTATCTCAAAACCCTATCAAAAATTTCTTCACCCCTCGACCTAAAGATTAAATTCTTTCATTGTTAGTAAGAATAACCAAACTAATACCGATGGCGACCTCTGCTGTAAATTTTATTCATATCCCAAAGAGCTCTACAAAATTATTTATTAATTAAATTAAACTAACCGTTACAGTAGAAATTAATTTTTTGAGACCTTTAATATTAGAATATCATGACAGAGAAAACCAATTTCTAATACCTCCCCCACTCCCTAGTCAGCCATTGATTCCGAAAAGGAGTCGCAGAGGAAAAGTATTGTAGAAAACCAACATGTAAAAGTTGTGTACGTTTCATTTTCAGAAAAAGCATTTAGCTAGAGAATAATTCATGGGGAGGCAAACAAATTTGAAGGCAATCTAGTGTCTAGCTCACCTTCAACGTAATAGGCTACCCACTGCAAAACACTCTAGGACTTGGACTTAGCAGTGGTGGACTTAGGATTTGGTCTAGGGAGTGGCGCATACAATTTTTCAAGAATATATTTTAAAAAAACATTTATTATACGTTTAAAAATAGAACATTTTCGGCATAAAACATAATATATTGAACAAATAACTAATTCTTCATAAACTAAGAAAAGAACAACCAGAAAAAGGCTAAATGGCAAAGTCGCGAGCTTTCTTTTGGTCGACGCAAATCGATTTTTTTCCACAATATAACTCTTTTCCAATAATCACTAGGTGACCGCCTGCGTAACTACCACTGTCTAGGAGGGGGCACGCGCCCCCCTTTAAATTCGCGCCTGAACTCTAGGACAAAATTCCCCTAAATGTAGCCGCAGAACTAGGTCCGGACGGACCGACGAACAGATACGAGTTTTGCAACTACTTCAGAGCTCGTTTATAAACGTAACAAAATTTCAACCACATTTTAAGGGCCAGGAATATAGTAATACAAGCTCCTTTCGCTATTTTCTTAGTAGGTCACTTCTAACATGAGGAACAGCGAACGACAAAGGGGTAAGTGTAAGCCTCCTTGTAGAAAAAAAGCCAACGGAAGAACGGATTATTAGGTGACTAATTTGCGGTCACCACCCGCGTATTCATTCAATCAGATCCCAACGAAAGACAGAAAGGAGGCCCTTGTTAAGGAAAAGCGTACAGAAATTAACGGGACGAATTCTCGTGCATGTAAATTAAAGGCAATCAGAGAATTAAAACGTACCGGATTAAAATTGCGGTCATCTCCGTGTCAATTTCGTTCGTCGACAAAAAAGAGAGCAAATAAATCTGGCCGTAATTTAAAATGAGAGCGGTTTCCGTTACTAACAGGTGCACCAAAAATCGGTTTGCGCCAAATTAAAAATTACGTTTTTAAAAAAATTCTTTGTGAAGAGTGTTTGATAAAGGTGTGTAAAGAAGCGACCGCGATTCAGGCGAGTTAAAAGGATGAGGCTAACACCATGGGTAGACCAGAGACCGCCGATGGGAAGCACCCAAACATATGACATTGCCATATCCAACAACATACTATTTAAAATCTATCTCATTTCATCGTATGTGACGCCTGCGTGTTTACCATATCGTCGTCCTACTTCGACTAATGTGGCGTCCTAACCAGGCTTTTTATACGTTCTTCCTTCCACCCGCGCCAATTTATATACTTCGTTCCTTTATTACCCACGTGGCCCTACCCACTTTGACCACAAACTCGACTATCCCGCTCCGACAGACTCGATCGTTTATCAGACGTCCTTGTTGAACATATACCCCTTATGTTAGCTTCTGTTTTAATCTACGGCTCTGGCGTCTCTTTCCGCCGCCGTTCCGGTAAAATTAGGGTGTCTCTGTCCAACTCTCCCTGATAACCAAAAGGGTTATCAGGGCGCAAGAGTATACTACTGCATTTGGCTCGAAGCTACGACCTACTCCCATATTGTCTTCTCGTGTCGGCGCCGCGTCCGCTCGAAATTTTGGAACAATCACGTACGCCCGATGATGTGTGAACGTTGGTTAATCATGGAGAGACGTTAAAAGTATCCTAGAGGAGGACGTAGACGGTAGAAGAGGACAAAAGCGGCGGTGCTAGCGACTTCTTTCGCGGCGCACGTCATATATACACGGGCTATGTTTACTGCGTGGAAACGCTATGTCCCTACAAACGTTTAGTAGCCAAAACTCCGCTCGCCAATCCTGATTTAGGAACACACTTGAGTGACTTTCAAAATCTGACGAGAACGTACGCGTTACCGTCGCAAGTGGTGCTAGATTGGAAAGTTTGTTTTGTTTACCCCAAGTGCGTGCGTGCTTCTTATGTGTTTAAACAGTGCGTGTGTGGGCCGCAGTTGTGCCTCAACATTCGTTCCGTGACACGCATCCTTTTCCGGGCAAAGTGCAGTCGAAATTACCGGCCGCCGTGAAACGTGCACCTCGACTGTGCTCACGTGCGCATTTTAATGTCATAATGCGTTGCGGTGGTGTGGTCCCATTTTTTCACCCCACCCCGTAAAAGTTTTCATTCAGAAAAAGTGTTGACATTACGTCATCCGTTGCCGGGCAACCGACGGCGCCGTGACATGCAACCCCCCAGCTTATGATTTTTTCCTCGCGGCATGCACCAAGGAGAGGCGTCTCGAACTGTCAAGGAGCGCCCGCGTGGTTGACAGCCGATCCTTTCCCATAAAGTCTAAATGCAAGTGATACTTGATGTTCGGTGACTGGGGATCTACCGGTATGCATTTAACTGCAACATCCCAAACAGCAACGGGAACGGCGGCCTCTCCCGAGGGCACTAGTCTAATAAACGACACCTACACGAAGATGACGTCCGACATACTCGCCGAAAGGACGCTTAGCGATTTCCTGGCGGAACATCCAGGTGAATTAATTCGAACGGGTAGTCCGCTGTTCGTCTGCACCGTCCTTCCGCCGCATTGGAGATCGAATAAAACGCTACCCGTCGCATTCAAGGTGGTCGCCTTGGGCGACATTGGAGACGGAACCGTAGTCACAATCCGAGCCGGAAACGACGAGAATTACTGTGCGGAACTGAGGAATTCGACGGCGGTCATGAAAAACCAGGTCGCCAAATTCAACGACTTGAGATTCGTCGGCCGAAGCGGCCGAGGTAAACCTCCTTATTTTCCCCGTAAATCTCGGAGACTTCAACGCGAGGTCTAAGAAAGTTTTAAGAGAGCGCAGAAAGTTTTAAAAGTTTTCAGGGGATGCAAGCTCGCGCATGGCAAAAATTTGTCACACTTTTCTCGCGGGCGCGCGGAAAACCGACTTGTCGCAAGTGTCAACAGATTATGGAAGTTAATCCGCCGTGAAATAAGCTGTTTGTCTACCCGTAACCCTTTTCATCTTGTTTTCGTTAGCGTTTTATAAATTAAAGCGCCCCTTTTAAATGACGCCACGTCTGAAAATCGCGACAAGATAATTAAATCGTGCAGGCGATTTGATCGCGGAAAAACAACCGAATTCCCCCGCAAGGAATTACTAAAATTCTTATAATCGTCGTTAATTAACCGACGCTAATAATATGTCGGGAGGGCTAGTTCGTGAAAAAGTTTTCGATACGCCCCTTTAAAAACGGAAACAATTTAAGATTAGAATTCTATTATACGAAATGGAATTGGTTGGGGAACGCGAAGTTCGCATCTCTTGAGACGTTGAAGATTAGCACGCGATCATTCAAAGCCATCTAAGATCTGAATAATACCTTCCCTTGTTAATTACTTCTCTAGGTAGTTGGATTTTGCGATTATCTCTGCATTATTTACAAATGAACTCATTTATTAAGGTCTTTTTAGGAAATAATTTCGACATCGTATATATTTAATTAATTCGAGTCATCCAGGTAAATATTCTGTAATCGTCGGATAATTCAATTTTACTCGGCAATAGTTAGATATAACAGATGCTATGATAAATATGTTACAGCACTCGACGCGTGTTAGGTTAATATTCAACCCCTTCCAAAAACGTGCCTGCAACATATTGTCCCTCTGTATGGGGAGCCTACACAACTATGTTGTAACCTACAACATTGATCGAAGAGGCTGAATTATAACGTGCCGCACAAATATAATCCGCGGACAAGTGCTCGAACTCTTTCGGCTTGTACTTGCGGATTGATTGGTTATCCGTACTGGTAAAGGTTCACATTAATCAACGTGCTCATCTAAAATTGGCCATAAAACCCAATTTACGATGAACGCGCCACTTTAAAATGCAGTATTAGCTGTGAAACACCCGTAAATTTCCACAATTAGGGGTGGATATCAAGCGTTTTACCTATACGTTAAAAGTGTGCGAAATAATCGGACAATATGGTGCAAATGTACCCACAAAAACCGTATCACGAATAGGAATTAAAAGAAATAATAGCATATCTTGCATATACAGTGTGTCCACGGATTGAGTGCATATTAGGTGTAGGTACCTATATGACAAATTTGTTTAAAATTGGATTTTCATGTTGTGAGGATCGCTCCTGCTTAGTCTTAAAGTAAGATATTGAAAAAAGAGTCAAATCAATTAATATACAGGGTGTTGTTTGCCGAATTCTAAAAATTTCACAAGAGTAAACTGTCTGTATTTTGGCATATGTATTAAAAAAGGTTGTTTCAGGGGTTGTTTAGAATTAAGTAAAAGTTATGTAAAACTTTCAATTTTCACACAAATCAGCCTGCTTTGATTTTTTTTACAAACGTGAGTGGTTAACGAGTTTGACAAAAAAAATGGAAAACATTTGGTTAGTTTATCACAAGTAAGATAACGATTGAATACGTAAAATTTTGCACTTTAACGTTATTTATCAAATTTTGTCTAGTGTGTTAATTGTTTACACAGCAGTTTTAACTATAGTTCTTTGTGATATCAAAATACAATATCGCGCCTGCTTAAATTGTTCTTGACCAAATTGAGTGGTTTTTTTTATCTCCTATACACAAACAATTTTTAAGCGACGTTAACTGTCTGGTACACGTCCTTTTAATTTTCATGTAATCCGTATTTTTGCTGTGTGTATAAAACAGCACGTTAGAATCTGTTTACTTCAACCTTTTCAGCGCGTTTTCCAACGAAGTTGGGTGCGCTATTTCAGTCACTTTCTCTGTCCGGGGCCTTAACTACTCCCACAGTTTTCAAGTTATTTCTTTCGTTCTTTTTGCATTCGATAGCGTGTAACTCTGGCACTTGAGTTAAGGAAAATCTTAACGATTAAACTGCGCATGCTTTTAGTAAAAGCAAACGTATCGCATATTGTAAACATTAGATTAATGTGCGCATGCGCAGGATGCGCAATATCAAATGTCTTATTTATCGAAATATCTTTTTGAAATTTTAATCACAGATGCTTCTGTTAAAGGCAAACATATCGGATATTGCAAATATTAGATGAGCGCATGCACAGTCAGTGCCAACTTCTTTATTTATGAATTAACCATAGATGCTCCGCCATCTTTTTTAATTGCTGGAAGTGTTATATTTACGAAAGTACCGAAGAACTAGATGGGATCATCTATCGAAATCCTAACGACTATTCTCCTCCTGATCTAAGAGAGTGCCCTAACGCTGAGCTAGCAAAGGGTAGTGATCCAATAGACATCTCGACTCTAGAGACTTCCGAAACCCATCTAGACACAATGTTCCATAGAAATTAAGGAGACAAGAATAACGCACCACATTTGCACTGCGGTTCACAAATTATTTCCACCAAGAATATTATTTATTTGGATATCCCATTTTATTTTCCCATAATTGTATATCTTGCTATTTCTAGAATGCCCATAGTGGCCCTCCTTATCTCGGACACTGCGTATAATTTCCTTGTTTACAACTTGTCAGTCAAAGTATTATTAGACATTTAGATTTAGATTAAATATTTTGAAAGTTATTAAAGGGCTATCCCTTGGACTATCCCGAACTCTCAAAAAAATGTTATTAAAGAGTGCTTATCTTGAGGGACGACAGTGTATTAATTTATTGCTCCTCGCATTGCCCTTTTATAGCAGTAATGCGCAATGTGTATTACTCCTCTAATTTGACAGAATTTATTTTTGAGGTTGGAGGAATGGTGCTGCATTACAATTAAGCCCCCCCCCCTCCCCCTTCCGCTCCAATAGACAAAAAGTAGCTCAGTTTCGAATTTGGCAGAATTTATTTTTGAGATTCGATGGAGTGTGCTGCATTACACTTAAGAGACCCCCCTCTCCCTCCAATTGATAAAATTTACCTCAGTTTCGAATGGTGATAAATTGTGTCTTACATGAAAACGAGTGGAGGTGCTACCTACTGTAAAGAGTAAGATGGTTAGGCGCCTCGTCCATATAAGCAACCGGTGGCATGCGATCAGTTGCATGAAACAGGTGTCATGAAACCATTTTACGTCCAGTTGTGCAACCTATTTGGAACTTAATTTGAACGATGTCGTCGTCCAATGAAGATTTTGTGGTGGGTGCCATGTATTTAAGGAAAAGAAAAAGCCGAAATCGTTTTTGGGCTCTTCCTGTTTTTTAAAAAATTACGGGAGGAGTTTCTGTATAATTTTATAATTATATAAACAAGGATATTTCCCACTTCCTGCACTAGAGCAATAATTAAAGTTTGTTCGCCGGTCGACAGGGCGCTACCGCTTTACGCATTTTTCTGACCACTATTCAATTACATTGAAACTTGAGCAATAACCCAATAACTCCCCAATAACTCTAAAGGTCGACGCGCACTTATGCGCGGAGCGCGGCGGGTGCCAAGTGAGCGTTTGTCTATTGAAATCAATGTGAGCGAAAAATGCGCTTCGCCGCGCTTAGGTGCGCGTCGGCCTTAATTTTATTGTAAACTTCTGTAAATGATGGAGCCCCATATATGTGCCTAAAATATGAGGGACAGCGATTAAGTTGGTCGCTCATTCTAACGGGAACGAGAAGAGTCATTTTTGAGTGCATGACACAGAAAATCCTCGAGAAAAAACGTTGTAATCGTGTAATTAACTGTAATGAAATACCTAAATTATATTCGGCTTCTGCGAATTTCCGACAATGTGATTATGCTACGTTTATGCTATTATATAATATACAGGCTGATTCAAATTCGAGGGCCACCATGGGGATCTCGGGAATTGTAAGAGAGAGATAGGTAGTTTAAATTTGGCAAAGTTGCGTATTTTGATGCTTCACAAAATGCAGTTTTGAAACTTAAAAAATTCCGACTACTTTCGGAGATATCCGGAAAACACTGAAATTTTGCAAAATCGTTTTTATTTTTTACTGAAGTTATTTAAAAAGATATTTGAATCACCCTGTATATTATATATGTTATATACTATTATACTCGTATATTGTAACTATTATCAGCCTCTAAACGTGTTTCTATTGAACAACCCTCGTATATTATAACTATTATCTGTTGGTTATTTCATTATTATTTGTACCTGTTAGCGTTACATTGTTACGTACAAGGAGGTATTTAAAATACACAAAAATTCGAATTTGTAGCCAATGAATTTTTATAAGTAATTTTAGTCTAAAATCGCATCTAAAACCCCTCGGATCATAATTCCTTTACTATAAAAGATACGGAAAAAAATCTTGTAGCAATTGTCCACAGTTACCATTTTTGTAAAATATTTCTGATAACCAGTGGCGTAGCCAACTTACGTTTTTTATTATATTGGATCACCATATACATTCAATATTTTATTTTGGTTTGGCATACTCTCTTACTACGCTTACTAATAAATGCCAGTTTTATCAAATAATTTCTGTTCTTGATGTAGTTACTGTTCAGCTTTCTGTTGGTTTCTACATTCATCGGTGATCTGCCTTGGAAATCAACCTTATTACTTTATCTTCGCCAACTGTATTAATCTCTATCCTGGAAAGAGCATCTGCGTTTGTGTCAATTTTCCTTTTTTTGTAATGATATTACAAGTATAATCGCACTCCTCCAATGTATGGTCACTACAGATTTTGTATACCGTAAAGGTACGGTCGGAAATATTTTACTACTCCCACAATGTAGTGTAGGAAGGGTTCAAGTTCCTGCAGAGCAGAGGTCTATAACCTCGTCTATAACCAAATGGGGGCCCTGGGCACAAATATGTATAGGGCCCTTTTGTTCGGATGA